AACATTACTGGCAAGTTGTCAATCAACCTATTTTACAGACCTACTGAAATAATTTACATGACTCTAGTGGCGGGAACACTTCAGCAATAGCTTGCCCATACCACAGTCTTTTTTGAATATTTCTTGTGAACCATCAAAAAGAAAAAAATTACGTTAGTGTGGTATACATTCTTGGCAAGAGGATTTCCTCATCGGATATTACCAGTGGCTTTAGATAAAGCCAAATACATTTTTGGAGCCAGCATACTCTCCAAACCTCAAACTAAACATAATCCCCTTTGTCCACTCCTTTATTGAGGTTTCTAACCACATCAGACATTTTCCAAAAACACCTGAACTATCAATGATAAATCTCTTATCATTGAAACTATGAATGCACCATTGCAAGTCTATTCCTTGCAATACAAATCTGTGCAATCCTTTAGTTCAAGCAGACTCTAAAGATGTATATAGAAAAGACAATTTTAATTCTCCTGCATCTCAAGGCTGCTGTCTTTGCAATTTTTTTTAGCTTACTGTACTTGTGAGGATTTTTGTCACCCACTTACAGGGGAAAGTGTGGTGGGGCCAGGGGTGCACTCTTACCTGGGGTCCGGCGAGTGCGACGGAGATCGTAGGGTCCTTCCTGGGCTGAATTGGTGCCCGGCGGCAGGTGTGCACATGAGCGCATGCATGACATGCGTGTGTCACATGCGCATGTGGCACTTCCGTGGCTTCTTAGTCGCTTCAGGTGCTGGTCATTGCCGGGGAGGGCCTTGCAAGCACTCCTTCTCTTCCAACCGTCCCATTGGAAACCTGTGGCTTCCTGGTTGCCTAGTCAACGGGAGCGTCGCTGGCCCCTGCTGGGTTTAAATCCAAGCCAGAGCCAAGACTTGTTGCTGAGTTATTCTGCCATTCCCAAAGCAGCTACAATGCCTCATTTCCTGTTTCCTGTCTCCCTCCCCTGCTATTTGGATCTCCTGGTTATCGACTCTTGGCTTGCCTCACCGTTTATGATACTCGCTGCCTGCCTCTACCCGGACTGTACTCTGACAATGCATTTTAGATCATTCTATCTTGTACCTCAGCCTGGACTCTGCTTCTGGTATTGTTCCCTGCTATTGGGGTCCAACTCAGCAAACAGGGGACTTTCGCTCCTTCCTTAACAGAAAGTCAGTATCTAAGGGTAGTTAAACTGTAGCCCTAAGATCTTCAATATCAACAAACTAGTTGCAACACATTTGACACATGACATTACCCACCACCAAGTTATTAAATCATTGCCATTGGTCATAGATCACATCTCCAGACCCCTCAGGGGAGGTGACAGGGATAGATTGCTCTTACAGAGGGCTTCCTACTACAAATATACACTGGACGCTTCGTCTGAAATATCTCAATTCTGTATTTTTTTATCTCATGTTTTCTCCCTACAAGGTACCATTTTGTTGCTACTACTGGTGACTTCACTGTTACAAGGTACCATTTTGTTGCTACTACTGGTGACTTCACTGTTACAAGGTACCATTTTGTTGCTACTACTGGTGACTTCACTGTTACAAGGTACCATTTTGTTGCTACTACTGGTGACTTCACTGTTCCCATGTATTTTAATATCCTAAAATCATATTTACCATTTATATCCAGCACTTTTTTACTTTATGTGTTTATATGTTAATATATTCTATTTTATTTGATGTTATAATTGTGTTTATTTAATCAACTTTGTGCAGTGGGTCCATCCTGAGACAAACAAATGCATTGTGGATTTGCAATGCATTATATAGTACTGTGCATTTTTTGTTTCAATTTGCAAAATACAAGGGCTTGGAAAACCCCTCTTTCTTATTTATTTTTTCTCAATGTTTATCCAGTTTGCATTAGGGGGGGCATTTTTGAGTTTTTTTGGTAATTTTCTCTGCTTTGCAATGGTCTATACTACCTATTTCTTTCTTTTCCTTTTTCAGATTCCTGCCCTATTCTTCGACTCACTTTGTTTTCTCTATCGGTTTCTGCCCTTTCTGTTGGCCCCGACTTTTTCATTCCTGCACTTTCACTTCAGTACACCATTTAAACATATTCCTTAGCAAGCATTGACACTCATTGATTACTCATTATACTTTGCTCAATTAGCTATCACCAAAGTAAATCATACCACATAAAGCACACCTGCTTTAAGAGTCTGAAATGATCAAAACAACCTGGTAATATCATTTCTTTCCTCTTCAGCCTGCAGTGCCTAGGCGAGGGTAACATCATCCTTCTTCTGCACTGGAGTACTCAGCATTCCCCAGGATCCAATTGGCAGAATGATGACATCACCCCCTGCACTGCAGAAGCCAGGGGAAAGACGAGTAAATTATCTAATTTTTTTTCCCCCTACAGGTGTTTTATTCAGCATTTCAGCAACTGAGACCACATTTAAAAAGTGGACCTTGCATGGATTAGGTCTGCTTCAATAAAAACTTGAATTGGTTTACAGTCATGGTCATTGCAAATTGGGGATGTTTATGTTTTGTGGCTGTGTTTATAGCATTATAGTGAGATGCTGTTTTCTACAGTATTTATGAGATGCTGCTTTCTATTGGGCATTTTTTCTAGAGATTCATACATATTTTCTTGCTATGTATAATATTTGTTGCAGATCAAGGTGTTGTGCTGATAAAAGGGACATGTGTGGCGTAGAAATGTGGGTTATTAGTGGTTAAGTTATGAATCCTTGATAGACTTCTATACTATTTTCTGACCCCAGACTTTCCACATTTCAGCTGTATGTATCAATTAGACATTGTTTAGCTACATGTCCTCAAAATTAGCAATCCCATTATTCAGATAAATGCATACCTAGATTCAAGATTCTAAAATACACAGTCATGTGAAAAAAGTAAGTACAATCAATGGAAATTGTTGACTCTTTCAACATATTTGAACAAACATTTCCATTCAAACAGTGCCTATAGAAGGTGATATACTCAAACAAATGACACATAAAACAGACACGGTGTATTCATTCTCATGATATATTAACAAAAATGCAAATTTGTCACATTTAAAAAGTAAGTACACCCCTACATTTACCACCACTTCACATCCATGAAATTTGAACCAAATGTTCCAGATTAGGTGCCAATAATTAGAACCTAATTATTATTTTACAGGATTTATATAGCTGCAACAGTTTGTGCCGCGCTTTACAATATAAGGAAGACATTACAATCACAATACTAGTCAAGACAAGATGGCTACCAGACTCCCCCATAAGTCCCCCCCCTATTTTATTATTACTCCTGCTTTATTATTACTGCTTACTTTTTGGAGCACATGGATGTCCTACTTTGGGACAATGGTACTTTGCAAAGCCACTCTACTAAGTATCAAAGGATTGTTGCTTAAAATAAACTATTAGGAAGATTAAATATGTACTTTACAGTAGTTTTCACCTTTTAGCTGACCAGGATGTAGGTCATTATTTCAATACTTGCTATCTATTAATACTTGAAAGACCAGCAGATGGTGTCACCAAAAACTGGGAAGCCATCTGACATATTATTAGAAAACTCTAGCAAGTGAATATTAAAGTAAAAATATAATATAGTTTCAATGAGTACATCGTATAAGTTGCTATTATATTGTTTCAGCTGACCTTCGGCCTTCCCTTTAGTCTTGCAGAGTTTTACAGGTTCCTCCCCTGTACTGACAATGCTTACTCTGATTTTACTGCACGCTGTGAGCTTCTCATAGTGTGCATTAGAAGCTGAAGCAAGACAGATAGAGACCGCCTCATTTCCTGGCTCGGGATTTCGCCCGATTCTCGTACGAGAATCGAGCAGTGTATGGGCACCTTTACTGGCCTGGCTGACTCCATTTATCTACTGGATTTCAGTTTTCAATCACAGAGGCTCAGCATCACATGTGGGTGTTTTCTAGGAGAGTCTGCATGCAAATGCAGCCTGCCTTATGGCAAGTCCTCCTCACTGATATTCACACTCCAAGGCATTTTGATATTTGCAGCCCTCCTTCCAAGATCTAGCTCATTGCTTGCATCATTTTTTTAGTGCGTTGATAAGGGGGGTGGCAGAAACCAGGTTTTCTGCAGTAATTTGACATAAAACGTGATCTGATCCCCATCTAAGTCTTAACAATATACAAACACAATGTGGTTAAGCTTATGACACAAACATAATTCTAATTTCTCGTGTCTTTATTGGAATTGTTTGCGTGTTATCAGCTTAGGCAATTGTATTCTTCTGTTGTTGTGACTTAGATGAGGATCAGATAACATTTCATGGCAAATTATTGCAGAAAATTAGTTAATTCCAAGGTGTTCACATACTTTTTCTTGCCATTGTATTTTTATATTTTACAAGCTTGCACTTCCATAGTTTATAGTATTAAATATAGAGATCTGTAGATAAGCCAGTAGATGGAGGTCTCAGCAATAGTGAAAATGCAATGCTTTCACTTAATCAATGTGGAGATAAGATATCAGCCACACAGGGACTGCATTGTTTTTTAATGAGCTAGCTGACTCATCAATCCTCTGTCTGCCTCCTTCTCCTCCACGATCGCTTGCGGGCCCCACCTCCTCGATCGACGGGCCCGCCTCCCCATCGTTAAGACCTGCCTCCTCCATTGCTGCTGACAACCGGCCCAGCCACCTCCCCCGAAGCTGCTGGTTGTCATGGACTCAGCAGCTGTGAGGAGGTACGCTCCGCTGCACATGTGAATGGCTGCGTGTTTCTCCTCACAGCCGCCAGTGACAGCCAGCAGCCTGAAATGCCATAGCGACCTAGGCGGCCCGCATGGCATCAGGGGGATGTCCTGGCCGAGTCGCCCTGTGCCCCATAGCAGCCGCCTGAGTCACTATGGTGATTGTTACGCCACTGATGTATAGATTACCTTTAAAGCAGAATACTAATATGCATAATCATATATTATCCCTTCCTTCATGTGTCGGAGAATGAGAGTCCTGTATTCAAACTCCTGGGGGTTGTTACACGTGTGTTTCACTGCAGACTTACCGGGTTTTCGCCACATCTAGAGGGTGCATTAGGCAGATTTCCACAAGACCTGTCAAAAAGAGATGAGATTGTTAGATATGACGTTAGAACAAAACATCAATACATAAAGTAAAACTCTCCATACTTACTATTTAATATACATTCCTAATATGCAACAAGACAGAGTTCCAAGGCACCTACACAGCCAGCTTTCATCAATTAAAACCCTTTTTATTCATTTATGTGACCGTGTGACTATGTCTCTGCGCCCGCCCAGGTGGCTAGGATGATGTGGCTCTTTTAATGTTTGGCTCCCTATACATGATCAATATCATGCATAAAAAAAGCAGTATTTATTTTTCTTGTTATTTGATGTATAATATCGCTTATAAGAAGCATTGATCAATGTTCTGTATGATTTTATAGAACTACAGTTTTGTCTCTGTTCTGCTCCCGAGGAAGCGGCACTGGCCGTGAAACTTGTAGAGCTATGCCCCATACACCCTGACTGATGCCACAACGCACGGTACCACAATACCATGTGTTGTGGATGAAGAAAAAAATATATATAGTGTACTGCGTGGTGCAGCGCAGAGGATCGCATTGCAGGCAAGAGGTGTGTTTGGGGTGCCATTCAACAACGCAACGTACCTCCCGCACTGTTAAAGCACGGTAGGTGCTGTAACAAGCCCCTGCTCGCTCGGTTCCACTCTCCCGGCACTCCCCAGATTTCAGACCGCAGCGTCTGATATTTCGGTCGTCCGATAATTCGGGATTCGAACTACAGCTATGTGCCGTTCGTATCCAGTGGTGATAGCTCAGAACAAACACCAGGCAGGCTGTATGTAAGTTCAAACAAGGATCTCCTTTATTGGATGCACACACACACTTTTATACACAACAGTTTGAACGCCCCGCCCAACCGACCACCTTCCTATTGGTCAATTGTAAAGTCCCCTCTAGTCCTCACTTAGGTCCTCTGGCCATGCAAATGAGGACTTGAAACAGGGCCAGCAGAGATTGGTCCAATAGCTTGAATGGGAGGGCTGATATGTATAATGACACAGAGACGTCCCAGGAGATAAAGTATTCCATGGACCATGACAGGTGCATTGCGCAGTACCGTACATTAATCGCTCGGAACTGTTTGATTAACACAAAGGCTTGGTGTGAACGGGCTGCCATGGTGTGAACACTGCCATACATTCATTATGAGCTGTGGGGCAGTTCATAACTCACCAAATGATTGTTTCATGGATTACTAATATTTTTATTACAGGGTTCTTGCCATCCAAAGATTGCATGTTCACCCGACTGAGCGACATTCACCAACATCTACAGGTGAAACTCAAATAATTAGAATATCGTGCAAAAGTTCATTTATTTCACTAATGCAACTTAAAAGGTGAAACTAATATATGAGATAGACTCATTACATGCAAAGCAAGATAGTTCAAGCCGTGATTTGTCATAATTGTGATGATTATGGCTTACAGCTCATGAAAACCCCAAATCCACAATCTCAGAAAATTAGAATATTACATGCAATCAATAAAACAAGGATTGTACATAGAACAATATCGGACCTCTGAAAAGTATAAGCATGCATATGTACTCAGTACTTGGTTTGGGCCCCTTTTGCAGCAATTACTGCCTCAATGCGGCGTGGCATGGAAGCTATCAGCCTGTGGCACTGCTGAGGTGTTATGGAAGACCAGGATGCTTCAATAGCGGCCTTCAGCTCTTCTGCATTGTTCGGTCTCATGTCTCTCATCTTTCTCTTGGCAATGCCCCATAGATTCTCTATGGGGTTCAGGTCAGGCGAGTTTGCTGGCCAATCAAGCACAGTAATCCCACGCTCATTGAACCAGGTTTTGGTGCTTTTGGCAGTGTGGGCAGGTGCCAAGTCCTGCTGGAAAATGAAGTCAGCATCCCCATAGAGCTCGTCTGCGGAAGGAAGCATGAAGTGCTCCAAAATCTCCTTGTAGATGGCTGCGTTGACCCTGGACTTAATGAAGCACAGTGGACAAACACCAGCAGATGACATGGCTCCCCAAATCAACACAGACTGTGGAAACTTCACACTGGACTTCAAGCATCTTGCAGTGTGTGCCTCTCCATTCTTCCTCCATACTCTGGGTCCTTGGTTTCCAAATGAGATGCAAAATTTGCTCTCATCAGAAAAG